GGGATACAGCCTCCCCAGGGTTCGGCCAAGTAGAAACCACGGGGAGGGGGAGGGGGGTGGGAGGGGACAGGGGGCGGCAGCAGCCTCTGCCGTGATCCGCTTGGGCTGGTTCCCACAGCTGCCTCCTCTCCGAGTCCAAAGGGAAAGGCCTACAAATGCAAATAAAACCTCAAAAACCTCAAACCTCAAAGCACTCTGCACGTGCCTGCGATGAGCACCCTCCCTTCCCCCCTCAATCCCAGGGCCTCAACGTCATCCCCTTGCTCTGCACCTCCCAGTTTGACCCCACGCAGTTCAAGAACCCCCAGGCCTTCGACCCGACCCACTTCCTGGACGAGAGCGGGGGGTTCAGGAGGAGGGAGGCCTTCATGGCTTTCTCAGCAGGTAAGGGGAGGGGACCCCTGGCACCCTCTGGGGGGAAAGAGGCCCCAGCCAGTGTGGGGCAGGAGAGGCTAAGAGGCTCGTCGGTTCCTCCGGCACTAAAGGGAAGCGGGGGGGGGGGGCAGGCTGGCCAGGGCCTTGGGGGTCACCCGCCTCCTGGCGTCTCCCCAGGGGGGCTTGAGGCCAAAGGAGCCGCTCCCTCCAGAGAGCTTGGACTGCAAAGCTTGTCATGCTCAGCCGGCAGGGCAGGGAGGCCGAGGGGCTGCCCAGGGCCGTTGGGAAGAGCTTTTGGGGGGCAGGTGCCAGGCTGGGCCTCGCTGGCAGAGGCGCCAAGGAAGCCCTTCTCTCCCCACAGGCAAGCGGGTGTGCCTGGGCGAAGGCCTGGCCAACATGGAGCTCTTCCTCTTCCTCACCACCATCTTGCAGAACTTCCGGCTGAAAGCGCTGACGGACCCCTCAGCCATCGACATCTCCCCCGAGTCCACCGGCCTGGGCAGCATCCCCCGGCCCTACCAGCTCTGCCTCCTCCCCCAATGAAGGGCTGGCTCCCCTGGGGGGCCCAGCTGCTGTGGGCTGCTCACCTCCCAGGTGCCCCAGTTGCCCAACTGGCAGAGGGAGAGGCCGTTTTCAGGGAACCGGGAGGGGGGCTCTTAGAGGGGGGGGCTGGAGAGGTGGAGAAGCACATCCAGGCGCCACACAGAAGAGACAGGCCGATCTGCCCAGCGCCTGTGCCAGCCAGCCCGGAGGGGGGGGGGTTCCCTGCTTCTCACAGCCCCCGAAGTACAGCTGGTGGCTTTGAAAGGGACCCCCTCAGCCCCCGACCCACCAGATGGAGATTTATTAGCCTGCTACTCCATGGTGTGCCGGCTTCCCTAACCCCAAGTCTTGCTGTCTGGAAGTCAGGAGAGCTTGGAGAAAGGGAAGTTTTGGTCACGCCAAGGGTGATTTGGGCAGCCAACCTGGATTCCCAGCTCTGATCCCGAATGCAGAGGGGAGCCTCTTGTGCGTGCTTGCTCAGCCGTTTATTTAGAATGCTTGTATCCCACTTCCCAACCCCCCAAGACCCTCCAAACAGTTCACAAAGGATTCTGAAGGAGAAAAGCCAGCTGAAATTGATTAACAGAGCAGAAGAATCTCTTTTAAAAAGCAAGATTATTCCAGGCCCCTTGACTGCCCTCAGCCCATTTCTCCAAACCTCTCCCCCCAAATCAGGTCAAGGACAGGAGCCAAAGGGGTGGGGGGGGGGATGTCCCCCTTTCTCTCCAAGGTTCTGAAAACGGCCGTGTGTTAAGATAAAAACCTGCCCCTGGGCCTTCACTGACTTGGAAGTCACCTCGGGTAACATTTGGCAGTGTGCAATTCAAAATTTGCATCATAACGTTACTTATTTCTGGTTGTCCCTTTGGGCCTCCCCCGCGGGGCCTGAGAAAAGCCCCCTCCGAAGACGCCCCGAGGGCTCCCAAGGGCCGCTTGAGGGAGGGAGGGGGGGGCGGATTAAGACACCGGCAAAGGCGTCCCGGCCTTGGCTTACGGGACTCGGGGGAGGCGTTGACTCGGCCGGTTCTCTTCTTCCTCTTCGCCTTCTGGGCCCCTTGGAAGCGTCTCAGGTGCAAAAGGAGCCCCGGCCGAAGCTTCCGCGGGGGGAAGGTCAAGGCGCCAAACGGGGCTTTGGGGCTGGCAGCTCCCCGATTCCGCAGCCTGCAAGCCGATGCCTAGGATCCGAGTCAGGGCCGGAGAACCGGCACTTTCGCTCCGGCGGCGGGTGGGCGGGCGGGCGGGCGGCAGGCAGTCCGGGGCTGCCCAGAGAAGAGGCGGCGGCGCTGGCGAAGGGAAGGGGCCGGGCGGCGCTTGGGAGCTCCGCGCTCCAGTTGCCGCCTGGCGGGTCGGAGTCAGAAGCTGAAGCGGAAGCCCCGTCCCCGCCGAAGGACAGAGGAGCCGGCGAGCGGAGCGGCCCCCTTGCAGCCTCCGGAGGGCAGGCTGGACCCTGAGCCCCCCCCCCGCCCATCAGCGGGCGATCGAGCGGCAGGTGTAGGGCCGAGGCACGTTCCCGATGCCGCTCATCATGGGCGAGAGGTCGAGCTGGTCGCGGGGGCAGCTGGGCTGGAAGGAGAAGCGCTGCAGGAGGCTGGTCAGGTAGAGGAAGAGCTCCATGCGCGCCAAGGCCTCGCCCAGGCACAGCCGCTTCCCTGCGGGGCGAAGGGGGCAGTCAGGGGGGCGCTGCTGAGCTCCCTCGGGGGTGCCGGTGCCCAACCGCCCCGTCCCACACGCGCCCTGCCCTGGGAGAGCCCGCCTGCCCTGCCCCCGTGCCCGGCAGGAGTGGAGGGGGGCTCCCCCCACCCCGCCCCGCTCACCAGCAGAGAAGGGCATGAAGGCGCTGGAGCGTCGGAAAGCGCCCTCCTCGTCCAGGAAGTGTCCCGGGTCGAAGCTCTCTGGGTTCTTGAACTGGCTGCGGTCTTGGTGCACGGAGTGGAAGAAAGGCAGGACGTTGGTGCCCTGGTGGGACGGGAGGAAGGGAAGCCGATGAGCGGAGCTCGGAACGTCCCAGCTGAAGGCTGCTTTTAGGTGGGCTTCCGACTCGGCATCTTTCCGTTTATCCGCCCCTCCTGGGAATGAAAGGCCTCCTCCCTGCCCCCCCCCCCTTGGTTCCTCCTCTGCGACCCAGAAAGAGAGCGAAGCTCCCCGCTTGGCTTCGGCTTCGTGTTCCTGCAGTCGCGCTTGGCAGAAGGAAAGGGGCCGTTGAAAGGGCAGCGGATGTTAGTGCAAAGTTTGCAGCTGCCTCCCGAATGCACATCCTCCAAAATGCACACACGGCCAGGCAAAGGCTGCCCAAAATGTAATTGGGGGGGGGGGGGGAGAGAATCACTGAAAAATGTGTAAATAGGAAAGCCATTCTGACATTGACTTAGGGGAAATATGTCCGAAAATGAATGCTAAATTTTGCACACCTGTTTTGAAAATGGTCAAACTGAGAAACTGCACCCGAGACTTTGCCTCTTTCTACCCTGAGACACAACTCAGGGGATGGGCAGGAATGGGGGACTTACAATCAAAGCTACAGATATTCCTTTAAATGCGGATTAAACAAAAATTAACCAAATATTACTTGTCCTTGATTTAGCCACGTCTGATTCTCAGAGGCTGCTTGTTCAAGTCCCTTCAATTTTCTTGGCAAGGTTTTCAAAAGTGGTTTGCCCCCTTCTTAAGGCTGGGAGAAAGTGAAAAGCTGAAGATCGCCCCAATGGCTTCGTGCCCAAGGCAGGATCAGAACTCAGCTCTCCCAGTTTCTAGCCAGTGTCCTAACCGCTACACCATCTGGCTCTGCAATATTTTTTTGGTGACTTAACAAATTAATACGGCCACCCATTTACCAAGAGGAGCTCTGGGGGGGGGGCGAACTTTAAAAGCACAAAAGAATTAGCAAATAAAAACCATTTAAAACAATCCCAGGAAGAAATCCAACGACAGCATGAAGGCCGTTGAATAAAACTTGCAGCCATCAAACAGCCGCACCCTCTCTGGGCACAAAGCAGAAGGTTGTGCTGATGCCACCCGGCTCACTGCCCTCCTGTGCCCAGCTCACTCAGGCCCACCTCTAAGAGAACGCAGCGGCCATGCCTGCCAAGTGGGAGGAGTGCAGCTAGGCTGAACAGGGGCTTTCAAGAGTGGACCAGGCCTGGATAAGGCCCCCTCCAGCCCAGACCCCTCGGCACCCTCTCCGTCGCCCCCAAGTACCTCCGGAAAGAAGAAGCCCCGGAAATGGGTGTCCTTGGTCAGGGCGTGGGGGATGCCCATGGGGATGATGTCGGCAAACCTCTGGACCTCGTGGATCATGGCATCCGTGTAGGGCATCCTTGTCCGGTCAGCCACGGAAGGGAGGCGCTCAGAGCCAATGACCCTGGCGATCTCCTCCTGCACCTTGGCTGGAGACGGAGAGGTGGGGAGGGGCATGAGACCCCCAGCAAGGTGTTTAGAGGTCGAAGGGGCCCTCATCCCTCCCTCCACCCCCACAGTGCCCAGGGAGCAGCTCTGTCTAGCGGGGTTCCCAGCGGCCTCCCTCTGCCCCTCAGAGTGCCTGCTGGGTGCCTGCTAGGCAGAGCCGGAAAGGGGCCACCTTTGCCAGCCTCTGGCACTCAGAGACTATGAACGGCGATCGCCTCTCTGGCCGCCAGGGGTGGGGGCTCCTCTCAGCCTCACCAGCAACTTCGGGGAACTTCATGAGGATGAGGATGGCGTAGCGGAGGGTGGTGCTGATGGTCTCGGTGCCCGCGAAGAAGAGGTTGTGGGTGGTCATGATCAAAGTGTCGGTGTGGAAGAAGCTGTGGGGGTCCCCCTTCTCCTGCAGGCACAGGGATGCCCAGGGGTGAGCCTGTGTGCCGCCCCCCCCTTGCCGGGCCAGGCCCTTCATGCAGAAGGTGCAACCAGGGGATTGCCTTGCGGGAGGCAGGGAGATTTTTCCTGCACACCCCAAATTTTCATATCCTGCGGCTCTAAGAGCCCCTGATCCCCTGGATGGGAGGGTTGCATCTGGGCTGCCCAGGAGCCACAACTGGCCGCTCCCCTCAGCCATTGCTCATCCCTGCCCTGCTGGTAGGGGGAGGGCAGGGCAGGGGAGGCTCAGGAAGCCCAGGTGAAAGAAAGGAGGGGCTGCTTTCCCCCTCCTCCCATCCAGGGGCAGCCCAGGGTCTCCCCGGCCAGCAGGAGGTCAGCCGGGGAGATTTTGCCTGGCGCCGTCTCCCCTTCCTCAAATTGCACTGTGACAGGGACCACCACTCTGCATTTGACAGGCGGTGGCAACCTCCTCTGCCATGGAAGCCCCCACGGCCCCCAGAGGGGACTACAAAGCCCATTCTCACCTGCTGCATCTTCAGGAGGAAGCAGTCTATAAAGTCGCGTGGGCAGCTGGGGTCCAGGCTGGCCTGGTGGGCCTTGGCCATCTCCTTCACCAGGGCCCGCAGCTTCTCAAAGTTGGCAAATATCTGGTTGTGTGGCCCAGGCAGGTAATACATGATGTGGGGGAAAATGTTGTACATCTGGAAGGAAGGAGCAGGGGTGGGATGTGGAGGCAGCCAAAGAAGTGGGGGGGGGGAGTGGAAGGCAACCAGGCCGATCCCTATTGGGAAGCAGGGGCAAAGGATACGGAGACCCCCGCCCAGCCACACAATCCCACCCTTCTCTGGGCGGTTCCAGGCTTTTGTGGCAGCTGCTTCAGGAGGCTCAGCAAGCAGAGAAGGGCCTCTCCCACCTTCAGCCCTTGGCCCCCGAGAGGGGAAAGCGAGGGGCCGCAGGGGTCTCCCCTCATCTGGACCGTGCTTTGAGATAGGCCAGCCAGGATCTGAGCCAAAGGCTGCCTTTGCCTTTCCATCACTTCCATGGCATCCCCCCCCCAAGGGGCTTTTTCAAAAGGCAACTGGACTTTGTTTTTCCTTGAAGTTGTTTCACTCCTCATCCAAGAAGCTTCTTCGATTCTGTTGAGGCCACCTTGGAGTTCACCTGTGCCCTCAGGGCCCCCGAATCAGGGCAAACGGGCGTGGAACCTTCTTGGAACTGCTAAAAAGGCTGTGCTGTAAACAGGGATGGGTGGCATCGTATCCCTCCCCTTCTGTGGGGGGAGGGCTGTTCAGTGTTGATGTGGATGGCCTCTTTCCCAAACCAAAGCACCTTTGGGCCGATGCCATGAAAGGGATGCCGGAGGCCGAGAAGAAATCCTTGAGTGCTTTGAAGACGGAGCTTCAAGAGTTTATCAAACGAAGGTAGAGGGAGCTGCCCAAAGACGGGCGGGGGAGGGGCTGCCTCTTCCTGCAAGGCCCCTCTGCCCTCTCTGCCCAGCCTTCCCCCCCCCCCGAGCAGGTGCTCACCTGGGCACAAGGGGAGCTGAAGAGGCGGAAGTTGTCGTTGATCAGCCCTATGAAGGTCAGGAAACGCTGGTCCTCGTAGTCGAACCGATCTCCGAAGACGATGGAGCAGATGACGTTGGAGACCGAGCAGCCGAGCAGGAAGGTGGGGTCAAAGGGCTCTGCAGCACCCGGAGAGAAAGGCCCGAGGGGCTGAGGGGGGGCTGGCCAGCCGGAGCCCCCTCCCCCGATGCTGGCATTCTTCACAAAAGGGGGGCAGTGAAAATTGCCCAAAGGGGCATCCTGAATCTCCGAGAGCAGAGCCCTCCGTGAAGGCAGAAAAACGCGGGCCAGGCAGCCTCACCGCCAGACGGGAGCCATCGCTGGCTGGCCAGGCGCCCTGGGCTTAAGGGAACTGCACCGTCGTGGGGCGGGGAGTGAGCAGTGGGGGGCCCCGAGGCTCTTTCTGAGGCCCAGGACTCTTCAACACCTTCATCAATGATTTAGACAAGGGGATGGCAGGGGGGACATCAAATTTGCTGATGGCCCTAAACTGGCAGGAACATCAACACCCCAGAAGACAGACAGGCTCACCATGAGACACGGGAGGATCTTGACAGACTCAAAGAATGGAATTTAGTCTGGAGAAAAGGCAGGTTTTACACCCAGGGAGGGAAAACCAAAGGGACTAGTGCAGATTAGGTGAAACCTGGCTGCTGCACGGCTGCAATTGTCCGGAAGGGACCTTGGAGTCCTAGTGGACGATCACTGAAACCTGAGCCAGCAGCTGCCAGTGCAATCTTCGGCTGCAGAGCAACAGGACTGAGATCACGGGAAGGGTCAAGGCCACTCTCCAATGCCTCCCCTCAGCCTTTCCAAAGCCTGCAATTAACTCTTCTAAGGAGCTGCTGGAGTGAAGTCCCGCTTGGAGGGAGCGAAGACACAGCTCAGCCGGTCCAAGCGGGGGTCCCTGTCATCATCCCCCCCGCCCCCGAGCAGCCCTGCGCACCTGTCCTCTTGGCCATCTCCTTCACCAGGCACTGAGCCTCCTCCTGGATCCGCTCCTCAATGCTGCGCTTGCCCATCCCGAAGTCCCGCAGGGTCTGGATGGCAAAGCGCCTGAGGACCTTCCACTTCTCCCCATTGGAGAAGGCGACGCCTGGGGGGAGGGGGAAGAGGCGTCAAGGGTGGGAGAAGCCCCAGCAGTGGAAGCTGCTTCTCCTGGACAGCCGGAGGGTCAGCAGGTGGGCAGCCGAAGAGCACCTGATGTCCACAAATAAGAAAGGGCAGACTGCCCCTCCCTGGACGGGGATGCACACACACACATACACACACAAACACACACACACACACACAGAGTCCTGGGAAGAGGATTGCTCACGGAGAAGAGGGTGCCTTGCAACGGTCTGCTTGGAGCCTGCCGGCTGCCCTCCTTGCCCATCTTGGGGCAGCCAAATTTTAGGGAAGGTGATGGCCCCGCTGGCTCCCCTGCCCACCGTTCTCCTGCTGAGGGCAGCCCCAAGGAAGGCTCTGCAGCCAGCTGGACTCACCGTTGCCCTGAGTGAATCGGAACAAGACCGGCATGTCTCCGCGGCCACTGAACTCCTCGCCTTGGTCTACCAGGGCCTCCTTCACCGTCTGGTACCCGCACAGCACCACCACCGGCCGGGACCCCATGTGGATGGTGAAGAGTGAGCCGTACTGCTTGCTGAGCTGGAGACACACAAGGGGAGGGAGTCTTGGACTGAGCAGAGCCTCCCACGCGATGCCCCTTGCCCAGGAGACGCCTCGGCCCTCGGCCTGCCTTGCCACAGGAGTTATCCACAGAGCACAGCCGCTCTCACCGTTTCTGCCATGCGGGTCCCCGGTTGTGGCAGAGGCTGGGCTTACCTCCAGCAGGGACTTGATCATGTTCTTGGCATCCAGGTGAGGCAGGTTGCCAATGAATGGCAAGGGCCGAGGTCCGGGGGGCAGGCGTGCCTTGGTGCCCCATCGTCCTCCCCGGAGGAGCAGCAGCAGGCAGGCGAGGCAGAGAGCCAGCAGGAGAACTGTGGCTGCGCTGGCTTCCATGGTCAGAACTCTGGTTGGCTTGGCTGGGAGAAGACTTTGTCTGAGCCAGCGGGCACAGGTGCCCGCCTCCCGTGCCTGCTTTTATGCCCTGGATGCAAGGACCAAGAGGGAGGCGTGTCTCCTCCTAGCAGAACCTGATCCCACAGGGCGGCTCCGAAGGTAGGCTGGGCGTTGGAGCTGAGGTGGCTTTCCGTCTCTGATAGCCGCATCACCTACTTACATAACACTTTCTCCCTGGGCAGGCGTGCTGCCAGGCCACCCCCACCCCACACACACACCTTGGGGCCACAGGGAAGAATGTGCCCTGCACCCAACTCGGTCCTCGGGAGAACCACCGGGCGGAGAGGAAAGGATCCTCCTGGACGCTTCTCACCTGCTGGGCCACTGGGGAGCCCCCCAGGCCTGTGGCCTGGCTGGAGAGCAGCCGGGGAGGATGGGTGGCCCTCCCTGCAGATGGTCCGGAGGCTGCTGGCAATGCTTCCCACCCCTTGTCTGTATCGGGCATGCCAGGGAGGCTGAACTCCCTGCAGCGCCCAGCATTTTCACTCAAGGCTTCTGCACAAAAGCCTGAGAGGCCAGGAACACTCAGGGACGCTGCAGAAGGAAAGGGGGGGGGGGGTAGGAAGGTGAAAAGGACGAGAAGTCCCTCTCGGCTTGGAGCCCTTCACAGCTTCAAGGGCCTCCCCAGCGGAAGCAGTTTGGCACATTGCCCATTAAAGCGCCTGTCGGATGGCCTCTCTTGCACCCGTCAGCGGGAGACGCCCAGCAGAGAGCAGAGCCCCCTTGCTGTTCTACACTGCTCTCCCCACATGCCCAGGAACCCCTATGGTTGCGCCACAGCCCTGTTTTCTAAGGTGGAGAGATTCAGGGCTGCTGCCTGCGTGTCCCGAGATGGGATGGGTGAGGCTCTGGTGCCAGGGGATTATCGGGCTGATACAAAAACAGCCGGATAATGTTACAGGATTAGGTTTCCACCAACCTTGGCATCTCTGCCACTGCCGACCCCACCCCTGACCTGAGAGCGATTGTGAAAGACTCACACCCTCCTTTAGCCAGCACCAGGGAAGCGAAGGGAGGGCTCAAATGTCAAGGATGTTCTTGGGAACGCCTTTCTCACCCGCAAAGAGAGCAGGATGGAGAAATCATGCGAGAGAAGGAAGAGCCAGCAGCTACCCTGGGCTGCCCCCCTCCAAAGCTCAGCTCCCATCCCTAGCTCAGTTCCCCGAGTGGCTCCTGCTCCAGGGACCACCTAGGAGAGGGAAAAGCCATTCCCTCCTTCTGGACTGCGATGGGGGGGGGGGGTGCTGTTCAAAAAAATTGAGTCCCCAGCAGCCATTTCAGATTCCTGACATTTAGCATTTTGGGCCCTGTTTCTTGTGGATCTTCTAAGATAAAAACCAGATCATCTGCAAATGCCTGCAATTTATATTCTTCCTTTTTTATTTCCATGCCACTTATCTCCTTATCCTTTCTAATATCTCTATTAAGTACTTCCAGCTGAACAGGGACAGAGGACATGCCTCCCTTTACTATCACTTTAGCAGTTTGTTTATAGTAGATTGTCTTAATCATCTTAATAAATCTCTTCCCAAAACCCATAACTTTTAGTTGCGGCAGCCTAAACTGTCGGTTCACGCTGTCAAACGCCTTGTGTGCATTGAGGAAGATCAAGGCCATTTGCTTCTCTCAGTGTGCTTCGTAGTATTGCTGTGTATTTAGGATTATCCTCATATTGTCTTTTATTTGTCTCTTTGGTAAGAAGCCATTCTGATCTGGATGTATGAATCGATTCAAGGATCTCTTTAGTCTTTCTGCTATTATTCTGCATTCAATAACAATATTGGCCTATAGTTTTTTATGCGTTGCAGGTCTGGATCTCCTTTCGGTATGAGAGTAATGTTTGCTTCCCCCCAAGAGTCCAGTACTTTCAACTTCGACAGTAGTTCATTGAATACTTCCAACATCGAATCACCTACAGCATCTTATAGTGTTTTGTATATTCCTGCTGGCATTTCACTGTTGTAATATAGTTTCGTTTAGAGCTTTAGTTCTTTGTGCTAACTCTTCTTTATCAAGTTCAACTTATGGTTTTTTAAAAAATCAATTTGGTTTTTTTATATTCTTTTTTATCTTTTTGTAGTTCCATCTCTAACCTTCTATACTCTTCTTAAATGCTTATGTGCTTGTCTCCTTTTTTTGTTTCTCTTTCCCATATATGTTATGGTTAATCCTCTAATATCTGCCTTTGCTGTATCCTGTACATTCTGTAATGAAGTTTGCTCTTCATAAATTGTATAAATTCCTTTACTTTCAATATTGTCTGGTACATTGTCCATTTTAACTTCTTTTTTGTCCCTTCTATACAACCTTTATTGAATTATGATCCGCCCGGGTACTCATTTCAATATTTATTTCTTCTATATTGGATATTAACTCAGTTGACATCCACATCATACCTATTTTGGACCAAGACATGTGTCTATTTGAGTAGAACGTGAATTGATTTTTCTTGGGGTAGGATCCTCGCCAGGCTCCTTGCATACTTAATTCTTCCACCATTTTGAAAAAGCTTTCTCCTCGCTTTTTTTTTTAAAATTTATTTTGCTGGGTTTGTAATCCAAGTCCGCATCTACAATTGCATTAAAATCTCCTACCATATATATATGTTTTCATAGTACAATTCTATTATTTTCTTGTGCAATTCACCATAGAAATCTTCTTGATTGTTATTTGGTGCATATATTGCCACTACAAGTATTTTTTTTATATAATTCATTATTATCTCCACCATTAGAATACTCCCTTCCTCATCCGCAAATATTTATTTAGCCTTTATTGTCTCTTTAATATAAAACGCTACGCCTCTCTTACTTAGTTGTAGAAGGGAAGTGTATAACTTTCCAATTTTCTGATATTCCAGCATTTTTGTGTTGCTTTTTGATATGTACTTCCCGTATGCAAATTATGTCCAATTTTAATGTTTGTAATTTATTAAATTTCCTTTTCATAGTCAAATTCAGTCCATTTATGTTAATTGACATTAACTTCATTTCTTCTTTCATAGTGATTACTTCTTACTGCTAAAAAGAATAGAATAGTATGGTGAAGTGGCAGGTCTGAAAGATTTTAGTGAAGAATATTACAGAAAAACAAAAAAGAGAGCTAATGAACAGATTAGACATCCAGATCCCAAAGAAAAAAAATTAGGAATTAAATTAACAGTGAGATGTGTAACGATCAAGGAAGATAATTATTATAAGCTGATAACAACAAATTAAGACAGACCTGTAAAAATGGAAAAGCTTGTAACTATCGTTAATAGGAAGAATAGCTACAATTAAGATGAATGCACTACCGAAGTTACTATATTTATTCAAACAATTCCAATAAGATTGGAGAAATAATACCTTGAAGATCTTAATAAATCAATAATAAAATATATTTGGCAAGGAAAAAGAGCAAGAATTAATTTTAAAATGTTACAGGAGGCAAGAGTTAGAGGAGGTTTTGGATTACCAAACTGGGAATTATATTAGCAGGCAGCAGCGTTAACATGGATGAAAGAATGGATTGTGCTGAGAAACACAAGGCTAATTGACACTGGAGGCCGAAGATTGGCAATTGGGATGGCATGCCTTCTTATGCTATGGGGAAAGTAAGATAACATGGTGCTTTCAAAGAGACCATATAAGAAATGCCATTGTTAGTATGGGAGAAGGTTAGAGAGCAACACTATTTAAAGAAAGCGAAAGTTTCGCTTTCGACGATGGAAGCATTAATACACACAAATATTATGACTAAGGGAAACATTGTTAGATACAAGGATATTTTGACAGAAAAGGGGAAGCTCAAAACTAAGCAAGAATGAGAAAAACAAGGGATCGTTATGGATTGGTATACACAACTGAAAATACAATCTAGGTACGAAAAAGATGCTAAATTATATGGCTTTTATATGGATTTGACAGAATTAGATATTAAGAGGAACAGAAGAGAGGATGATAAAGAAATTGTATAGCTACTTCTTGAGTATTAAGTTAGAAGAAGAACAAGTGAAGGAAACAATGATAGCCTGGGGGGGAAAATATGGTTGTACGATAGAACTAGCAATTATGGGGATAAAGAGAATTTGTATAAGATGTTTCATAGATGGCATTTGCCACCAGCAAGTTTGGCAAAGATGTTTAAGGACAAATCAGTTAAATGTTGTAAATGTCATCAGATACCTGGCTTGTACTCTCCTATGTGGTAGCAGAAGCAAAAAAATACTGAAGTAAAATACATATGTGGATAAAAAAGATGATACAACAACATATAGTTTAAAATCTGAAATATTCCTGTTGGGGATTTTATCAGAAACTTATAGTAAAGAAAATGTATATTTGATCATTCATGTTATAACAGCAGCTAGGATTGTATTTGGAAGACATAAGAGATTCCCACAGAGGAGAATGTAATTAGGAAAGCATTAGAATGTGCAGAAATGAACAGATTAACACTGGCAATTAAAAAGAACAAACTGATTATTATATTATATGGGAATCATTTTATTGATGTTTAGAGAATAAATATAAGAATTAGAAGTAAAATCAGCCGTGTAAAAATGCATCAATAGAGTTAACCTAATAGTCAAATAAATTAAGAAGATAATTGTTATAGTATTAGATATTTAAAGTATTGGTATTAAACTGGAATAGATAAATAATGAATGATTATAATTTTGAATTGTTATTGCACAAAATATTTGTACCCAGATGACACACTGTTTAATGCATGACGGATTGTTTACATTACAATAAAATAAAAACTTACAAAAAAAAAAAGATTCCTGACGTTCGCAGCCCAGGGCAGCAGGGGCCTCTTCTGGCTGAGAGGGGCCCCATCTGCCAGGCCTGCCTTCCCCCTTTGTCCCCCCCCTCCCCACTTAAGGGCATCCCTCATCTTGTGGCCAATCTTCCCGCGATAATTGGGGGATCGACTTCTTAGCAAAGGATATTTTGGGGTGGGGAGGTGGATGGGCGAAACCTGGAAGCTGCCAGCCCTCCCCGCTGCCGTGTGATCCACCCCCCGAGCAGCTGCCCCCTCCCTGGCACAGAGGCTTTGACTTGGGCAGAGCCAGAGATTGAAAAGGCAGCCTTGTTTACCCTGCACGCTTCGGCTGCCCTGAAGAGCCTGTGCCCTTTGTTGTTGTCTTTGCGAGGAGATGCTTCCCTACAGAAAGGCCCCAAATCCCCTCCCGGCCTGTTTGGGCACTGGCTGCCTCGTAGGGAGGGTCTAATTGGCAGCCTAGCCCTCACTCTTGCCTTGGCAACGCTGATGTGTGGACTTCAACTCCCAGCATTCCCTGGGCCAACTCAGCCCCCCACGCAGGAGGCCCTGAGGACACTGTGGGGCCTGGCCAGCCACCTGACCATTCCCATCCCCAAGAGGAGAGGAGGCAACGGCCCACCACTCTCCTCAGGCAGTTGGGCCCAAAAGCCCCCAATCTATGAATGAATTTGAAAGGGAAAAATAAAAATCGTTTTAAAAAAAACCTTCCTGCCATGAGGGGGGGGGGGGCGTTTGCAAGGGGTCCAAGTCAACTCAAGGGCTCCACCTGCTGGCTGCCTCCTTGTCTGCACCCTTCCCTTCTGGCTACTCCCAAAATCCCACTCCCTCCCCCCCCCCCCCCCGGCCCCCCCATGGACCCTCTGGGGGCTTCCCAGGACTAGAAGGCAGAGAACTCTTTCCAACAATCCAGACTGAGGCCCCCCCCCCCAAGGAAGGATAGGAAAGCCCAGAGGAAAAGCCCACAACCCCATGAAAGGGGGGGGGTCTTCTTTACCAAGGCAAAAGCCCACCAGAAACAAACCAGGCTGACCTGATCCTAACTGCCGCCGCCTGTCGTGGGAACAGGGCCAACAATGGGGCCTCCTGGGTGCACAGCAGTTTTGGGGGCGCA